AAAATGAGTGGCGTTTCTTGCAGGAATGACACCAAGGCGTTGACAACAGCCACTCAGACTCTACAGGTTCTTATCTTTCGCCCTATCGAGCCAATGGACCACGGACTGATTCATGCGAGCTGAGGGGGTTAGAGTTACCTAGACAAGTCCTAAAGGCGGCGATAAGCCGCCAGACACAATCAGGTCTTGAAGCTATCCATCTACCAGATCGATCTGGCGAATGCTGACACGGCTTTAGCTTCAGGGAGCTAACACTAACCAACATCAGAACGCTATCTGTATCAGGGCTATCTCCTAGACGACTGCAGGTCTCTTGGTCTGATACGAAGCCCCCCCGTGAGGACGTGGGAGGCGTGGGAAGCGTGGGAAGGCTGTCATTGTTGGAGCTGAAGACTGGGAGATGGATGTCGGCACACAGAGACAGAGCACAGAGCGTGGTTGGAGTTCTCGAAGGACAGGGCGAGCAACACCACAGATACAGGGCAAGGACAGGTACAGTAGGTACATGTTGGCCGCAGTGGGTCATGTACACGGTACGGTTGCAAGTGCCCGCAGAGACGCAAAGAGGCACGCGAGAATGAGACTGAAGGCTCATGCACCTGAGTTTGCGCCCGCAAGCCGGGGCTGTCTCGCTACGTTGAACCATGTCGGGGTAGCGCTTTCTGCCTCTGCTACCACTGCTAACCTTGTCCTCCGCTGTGCCGCCCGCTGCGTGCCCAAAGGCAAAAGCCAAAAAAAAAAACGCCCCATGCTAAGGCACCGACTGCCAATGGACTGTCTCTGTGTACGAATGTGCAGTGGACTGCGGAGAGGAACATGAGGGCGGGTGGGCAAGTGCAGGCGGGTGCCGTGTTGCTGGAGACGGGCAGGCAGGGTCCTGGTGGGCAAGGTGGTGGATCGTTTTGGCGCTCTGGATGAGGTTGCTGTTGGTGAGGTACTGCGCAGGAAGTACCCGTAGCCGTGTGTACCTACCACAGGACCTGGATGTAGGTACGTTGCGTCGCCCGTCCATCCGTCAGTCAAGACAAGATGCGGCTTGCCTTGGCCTTGCCTTAGGTAAGTGAGGTAAGGGTAAGCTGCTTAGTGCTGTCTCCTCCCATTTACCTTTAACTGAGGCCTACCGAACCACCAAGACGGACGGACTCTCGACATGGAACCGTCCTGACAAACCGACCCGACGCACCTCAGACCCCATGAAATTAATCCCGTTCCCGTACCGACCTGATCTGCTTCGTCTCAAACATAAACCTCACACACCTCCAAATTTTCATTGAAGTTGCTGCGAAGCCCTGCCCAGCCAGCTTCTCAACCTGCGCCGCCCAGCCCAGCCCAGCTCCCGAGTGTGAAGCTGATTCGGGCTTAAGAGCACGGCACGCACGCGGTTATGCAGCCTGCGTCGTCAGCGTCCTAGGCGGCAGGCACGTCAGAGCATTTCCAGGGGCAAGGAACGACGAAGCGACCCAAGGCGAAGGTTCCGTTCCATCGAGACGAGACGGCCACACACGCCCGGCCCCGTGTCCGACGAGGCTGATTACCGTCTATCACCTACCTCCCACCTCCCACTATCACCACTACTGACTGTTCAACATCCATCATGGGTCAATGGTGGGACACCGCGAGGATTGACGCTACCGTCACTCGGCAGTTCGTCTGCCAGTACCTTTTGCCTGACGAAATAGAGCGTTTAGACCGACCTCTGGCCTTCGGCGGGGGGCTGACTGACGGCACTTACTGGGACTGGATCGACTCCAAGGCCAAGCGCGTCTTCTTGATTCTCGTCGACCTCAAGATCCCGGACCAAATATTCGGCATCATTGACGACTCGTGGGACGACCATGACCTCCCCGTTTCTATCGAGCATATCGAGCGCCTGAGGTTAACAGCCACCAAGGACGACAAAGTCGAGCGCAAGTTCTTCATCCGCCAGTTCAATTACCTGCTGAAGCCCTTCCAACGGGGGGACCATATCGTCTTCAACGACTACGAAATCGTGCCCCTTGATGTCATCGAGCGCCGGACGGCCGGGAACACCGCCGTCGAGAAGGTACTCCTGCCGAACTGTCCAGGGCTGGTTTTTTACCGGCGCCGGATCCCTATTGGGAACGGCCCGAGCCAACTAAGTCGAGGAGAGTTTATCGAAATTATCAACAGCATCAGAGGGATCCAGAATGACCACTTGGTCTCTTATTATGCTTCTTATACCCAGCACGGAGCTGCATACGCTCTCTTCACGCCTGCCACGGACTCTAACTTGAAGTCCTTTCTCGGCAATACGCCATCCAATTTCAAGAATTTTCCCAAGAAAGAACGGAGGCGGATGGTGATGAACTGGATCCTGTGTCTCGCCGACACTCTTGCTTACCTCCACAGCCGAAGGCTCTCCCACGGAAACATCAAGCCTTCGACCATACTCTTTACCAACCAGCTTCACATCTTCTACTCTGATTTCACGAGACTTAACCCCGCGATTCTTGCAGGGTATTCCGACAAGAACTCATTCGACCGAGAGTCATACGACTATGCCGCGCCAGAACAGTGGTTTCGTCCAAGCGGCGGCCCGACCAGTCCGATGGGACGAAAAGCGACTTTGGCCATGTCGACGTCTCCAGAAACGCACACCAACTTCTCTATTCCCAGGAGCGACAACCCCAGCAGTCCGAACGCAATGCTGAGCATGCCAAACCCGCAGCTTAGCCCGCAAGCTGCTGATATTTTCTCCCTCGGATGCGTTATTCTCGATCTCATGAGTTTCCTCGTCAAGAAGACGACAAAGAGCTTCGCAGCCCACCGTGCCGCAAAGCACAAGTCTCCTGGCCGAGGAGGCGCGGTACTAGACTCTTCATTCCACAAAAACTTGGGCCAAGTCGAGTCCTGGATGTCCACGCTAGCGAAGGAAGCGTCAAAGAAAACGTCCGAGTCCGAAGGCGGAGCCGTGTTCAAGGGTATCGTCCCGTTGATGCACATCGTCGCACGCATGCTGTCCGCGAACCCCAACGACCGTCCCCCCGCGTCCGAAGTGCAGACGCAAATCTACCAGATTCTGACGAAATACTGCGACATCACCGAACCACACTGCGTCCATCAGTATGGAGGATGGGACTTTGGCATGTCGCAACTACGCATCCAAGCCGTAAGCCCCAGCTCCGAGCTGATGCCCCAGCCTATTCGGCAGAACTCATTGTCTCAGCCATCACGGCGAGACAGCGGAAGCCTGAGTGGAAGTATCAGCCCGCGAGGTCTGGCCCACTCGAGGACAAACAGCAGCGGCGGCATGTCGAACAACAGTGGTATCAGTAGTGCGGCTAGCAGCGAGCATGACCAGGACCGAGAACTCGGGGCTGGGTTCACTGCCTTGCGGAACATCCGGGTACCACCGGTGAGATCGCCGGGACCGTGGGACTCGAGCCCCGCTGTTCCGGGCGGCCGCGGCGACCAAGCCCCGGTGTACTGAGATGGTTGAAAGAACGTTGTGGGATAGTAAATGGCGCCAATGCAACTATGCAGTCGTCGGTGATTTGGAGTTCATTCTTTTTCCCCATTGGGTTGGCGCAGTTGCGATATCGATACCATACCAGGTCACCTGGGTCTTGCATCAGAATCTCTCAAGTAGACAAAAAACGGAGGAAGGCGTCCACTATTGGAAGGAAATCTTGGGAGATGTTTGCGTGGTTTTTCAGGTGTTTTTTTGCTCAGCGATACCTCTGCCGCGGTTTCTTTGACGCAGGCAAAGTCTGTAACACCCTGTCGGAGCAAAGTAGGCGGAAATGGAAATGTGTTGTTTCCTGGGAGACCTCTCTGATGTCTTGATTTGTAGTGACTACCGGTTGAACATACTTTCTTTTTTGCTTCCCTTCTCATCCCAACAATGTAGGACAATGCCGTGAAAGAAGCAAAGACGACCGACTGGCTATGAGGAGCCTGCGTTCATTCGTATGAGGGAAATACTACAGGAGGGAGTGTGCACCCGTGAATGCAGAAGGAACAAACTGTCTATCCAAGCAGGATTCCGCCAGATGGACTGACCATCCCTTTTGTAAAAAAGGCACTCTCCCTCTCTCTCCCATATGCACGCGTAAATACAGGGAAGGGCGAATCCGACGGCCTCCGGGGGGACTCGCTGGCGCCGCCGCAGCTATGGCATTATCTGTACCACCTGTTACGTGATGCTATTTCCTGCCGAATGGGCAGTTTACATGACAAACAGAAAACCAAAGAGGCTCAGCAGGGGCCCCGGAGGCTTTTCCCGCGGAGTGGGACACCGCTGCAATATTACCACAGTGGTGGTGGTATTCGTAACGGTGCTGCGTTTATTCTGTCCAGTTACCTGCCAGGCGAGCGTTCAACAGCATTGCATTAAATTCATCAGTTCGTAGAGGTGACGCTTCTTCTGGGTGAGATGGCTTTCCCATGTTTTCTGATCGGCATTGAGTCGGATCAGGTTGCCCGTCAGCAATGCCAGGCGGTTGGCGGCGCTGCAGGGAAGTCTATCAGCGACCTCTGAGCTCTCGCGAGCACTGCAGGCCTACAGGAACTTGTGTTGCTGCCACAGAAGCCTGCACTGAAAGTAGCCCGTCTCGACTTGCGGCCAGCAAGGGTCAGAACCCAGAAGCTTTTCCCACTCAACTTGTGGCGGCTTCTTCGCCTGTTTCTGGCCATGCGGAAAGATCTCTCTCTGGAGCGTGCGGAAACAGCATTTTGGCGAGCGTCTCGGCGAGAGGAGAACAGTAGAGCTACAAAGTCTCGGATTCACCTTTTCGCTGACCTTGGCTGTTGGGGTCCGGCAGCTTCGGGTCGGGGTGCGGTAGGGAGGGGGCCATCTTGACCGGCCTCGGTGTAGAGCTTGCCCGACGTTGAAGCTCTCCGCACTTTGGCTCTGCCGTCTTCTGTGTCCTAGGGAAAGCCAAGACAATGCGCTGCGAATACCAGACGACTAAAGAGAGTCTTTGGATCGTCTAGTCTCGTTCGGGAAGAGCGTGTAGTGCTTTGTGTCGTCGAATTCGTTATCGTCGCCAACGCCGAGACCGATCGGCCTCGAGGTGCACGCCGTTCGCTTGGCCTCGTAGACCCTTCTTATTCCCCGTTGGACCCCTTCCCGGTGTCGACATCGACCCCGCCTGCAATCCTGAGTCGCTCTGACAGACGCGGGGTGAGATTTCGGACGGAGGGTTGAGTCGGATGGTGTTGTCGAGGGGGTTCATTCCACGTTTCAGTGTATGCAAGACGCCGACCAACGAGAAGCGTATGTGTTTGGCATTTCCGCTTTCATCTGTGATCGAATGATGTTACGGAGTCGGGGTATCGACTTGGTTGCAAAGTCTCACATTGATCGAAAGATGCAATCGGTGTTACCATTGAGTCTTCCTTTTGCTCGTATCAGTCGTCCGGTACGAAGCCGAGTTTGCTTCGATAGTTTTCGTTTGCTGGTTGCCTGGACGAATGCGAGACATCATATGGATGTATGCGGCGCATATGCTGCGAGACGTGTCACCGATGCAGCTGACGGTCCACCGCATAGGGTTGAGAGGCCTCTCCCTCTCTGCATACAAACACTCTCCAGCACCACGAGCGAATGCGACAGGCGATGACAGTCGCGGTGGAGCCGAGGAGGCTCCCAAGAGACACCCAACAATGGGGATGCTGCAACAACGGAGTCTCCCGGGCGTCGGACTGCCTCACAGAGTTGCAGCGACAGGGAACAACAGCTATTGCCCGGATCCACCGGTGACGTTGAGCCTTGAAGCGCCCTTTTTCTGCTCGGTTTTTCTTCCCCACCTGCTCACTTTGACATTTGACCCTTAACGAGCCCGAGTGCTTCTCAAACGAAACAGCCGCCTGGGTTTCTGGTGTCTTTTTTTGCAATCACCGTTGCAACGGCAGCGGACAAGGATCGAGAGCAGAGGATGGAACCAGGGTTAAGCTTACCCTGGTTCGCGTCAAGAATTGCCTGACTGCAGAGCCAAGAGGGATTTGAATGGGACGCTACGCTGAGTGCGTTGCGTCATATTCATTATGACAGAGACGCTATCAGCAGGCCGACGCCTTTTTTGCCGTGTTGCCGCCGTCGTCCACCATTGGGGGCCGTGAGGAATAGAAGACAATTTCAAGCCGTGCCCTAAATGTGGTGTAAGTGTCGCTAATCTGGGCGATGCCCCCGTAGGCCGGTCCAGATGAGAGCAGGCGAGGTGGAAGAGAATCAGAGCAGAGCGAGGAGGAGATTAGGTCGTCGCGTTGCCATCAGTTTCAAGCTAAACACAGGCGGGATTTCGCCGTTGAATTGGTTGCCCCCGGTGAACAAGGACAGGCCGAGAAACAAACCGATTGTTGGGCCCCTAGAGCGACATGACTCTTGATTGAGAACGCGGTAACTTGAAAGAAGGAAAATGCCAAATAGCAGCGTGGCGATTAAGAAATGCCGCTGTTGGCGTTTGTCGTCCGTCTTTTGGTGCTTTTTGCCGGGACGCTAGAAGCTCTTCTGGCTGATAACCTAGCACGCATCAGTGAGAAAGCTCGGTCCGTTTCCCGACCCCCCGACTCGTGGCGAGGAAGTAGCTGCGTGAGGCTATCCTTAGCGGAACAGGACACGACAAGCTGCGGGCCAATATTCGGGTTGGGACAGCAATGGTGCGGGTTGGTTGGACAGCTATCAGAGACGGTGTGGCTTCGGGTGGGTGGCGCGCGGCCTCCGTCCGTGGTCGTCGTGGGGGGATACAGGAAGAGAACAGCAAGTTTTGACGACGATCGCGATCTTTTCTTCCCTCTTGATCGGCGTCACCTTAGGTAACGTGAGGTTATTCCGCTCAATTCCCTCTCCCCGCTCTGTCGGACGGCATGTCTGAATACTGGAGAACGGGAGAGGGAGACCAGGAGGAGCGGAAGGATTCTGGGGAGCCCATCAGCCCTGGAGAGAAGTCGTCATATTCCATATCCGTCGAGTAGGCCGAGAGACGCGTCGACGTCTTGCAGAGTCGCATGGTGGCAGAGTGTGGCTGCCTGCTTACTGCGGCAGGCTGGTTGTCTTGCGTCAAGGCAGGCAGGCTCGTTGCCCCCAATGAGGCCGTCCATGTCGCAAAGAACCAGTCAGATCCTGCGAGTTCGCGGCCGGGCGAGGGCGACAATCAAGATGCCTTAGCTTGCCCCCTGGCCCGCCGCCAATGGCACAACATGGCGCACCTCCACTGATCCAGACCCATGCAGCCGCCCTTGTTCAGTTGCTTCAAGCTTGAACTCCTGAGTCCTTGTTCGTTTTCGCCCTCTTGTCGCACCCCTGTTGCCGGTCGTTTTCACCCTGGCCGGGTCGTCGCTAGCACCACAGCGAGCTCCAAGCTCCGACTCCTGCCTTAGTGTGAAGTAGGCATTTTTCTCTCTCATTCGTTTGGCCCTCCACGTGTGTGGAGAGGTGGGATGCGATTCCAAAAAGAGAAAGAGAAGAGCGATGTGAGAAGGGCGACAGGGGGAGTGGGAAAAAATAACCAGGGCCATGTTGTTCTTGCTCATTCGGAGTGTGTCCCGCGTCGAGCGCACCAGCAATAAAACAGCTTCTGTTCCCCATGCAATTGTCAGTCACGTCACTCGAACCGAAGCTGCTCACCTACGATACTCCAGGCCTTCTTGCCTTCAAGGTTGCCCTTTCCCGCCTCACCTTGACAGTTCTTTAGCGCGGTTGCTTCGATTGTGAGGTTCTGCCTGATTGTCGTTTGCGTCGAGAAGGCTCGTTGGGTCAGCCGTTGCGCAGTTGTGGCAGTGTCGAGCCTGCAACGGAAGGAATACGTATTGGGGGTTCAGCTTTGGGATAATCGCAGGGAAGGAAGGGCCAGAGACACCAGCAAGGACAAGGAAAGAGACGCCAACAACGGCAACCACAACCACCACAGACGACAGTCGCTACCTGTTAGGCCTACCTGTATGCCTTGCGAAAATTGCTGTTGCTCGATTTATTTTAGGCGTCTCTCGTCGGAAAAATCACTACAATCCTAGACAGCAACATCACCAACTTCACATTGTTCGACTTGCACGCTTTTTTGGGCCTTTTTTTGGAGCCACAGCATTTAAACATCACCGATCATCGAACCCTCAACTCTTACGAAACTTGCTATCACTAGCCGAAGCTTGTCGTCAGCTCGAACTGCGGATCGTTCCTCACCATGCGAGTCGCTAGCATCTTCTCGGCGGTGCTGCTTGGCACAGCCGCAGCGCTCGCACCTATTGAAATCCTCGGCAACAAGTTCTTCGACGAGAAGGGCAGACAATGGTTCATGAAAGGTACGTGCCAACCGTTCGTCTCTGTCACTTGACTCGTTTCTATGCCCTCTGCCGTCCCCGCCTCAATTCGTCGTCCTCGTTTACAGAACGTTGCAAGCTGACGCCATCTGCAGGCATTGCCTACCAACTGACGCCAGGTTAGCCCAGCTCAACCCTTTGCACACTTACACAGCATCCCCTCTAACATGAAGCTTGTTCAGATGATCCGCTCGTCGACACCGAGCAATGCACCCGCGACGCGGACCTCATGAAGACCCTGGGCACCAATGCTATTCGTATATACCATGTCGACCCCGATGCTAACCACGACGGCTGCATGGCTGCTTTCGACAAGGCTGGCATCTACACCCTCATCGACCTCGACACTTTTGACTCTTACATTCTTCCGGTAAGTTTGACCCCAACGCAGCCAAGAGCTCCCTTGCTGACGCGTCATGTAGAATACTCCCTACTGGAACGAGACACAGTTCAATGCGTACGCCAAAGTCATGGACGTCTTTGAGAAATACGACAATGTCCTCGGCTTCTTCGTTGGCAATGAGATCATTGCGCTTAACAACCAGTCTCAGGTTGCCCCTTTCATGAAGGCTGCTGCACGCGATATGAAGGCCTACCGCGACAAGAAGGGTTATCGCAAGATTCCCGTTGGCTACTCTGCGGCCGACATCGCTGAGTTGCGACCCATGCTGCAGGACTACCTCACCTGCGGTGGTAAGCCAGAGGACAACATTGACTTCTTCGGACTCAACTCGTACGAGTGGTGCGACCCCAACACCTACAACACATCCGGTTACGCAAACCTCCAGGCCATGGCTGAGCAATTCCCCGTTCCCATCTTCTTCACTGAGACGGGATGTATCACCGGCGATGGCCCGCGGACTTGGGACGACCAAGATGCCATCTTCAGTCAGCCCATGGTTGATGACTGGAGCGGAGCAATGGTTTACGAGTGGATCTATGAGGAGAACCGCTACGGTATCGTGTCTTATGGCCCTGAAGTCTCCAAGACGATTACCACCGGCGATGTTTACGACGGCTTCACCCGCAAGGGCACTCCGATCCCTCGTTCTCCAGAGTTCCAGAATCTCCAGTCCAAGTGGGCTACGATCACACCCACCGGTGTCATGAAGTCCGACTACAACCCAAGCAGCGTCTCTACCCGAGAATGTCCCAAGGCCACCGGTGGCTGGCTTGTCGACGGCAATGTCGCCCTGCCAAGTCTTGGGGAGACCTTCAAGGGCAGTTACTCTTCGACGCCAACAGCGGAGCCCGGTGCAAGCACATCCGCTTCTGGCTCTGCAGCGCCGACTGAATCTGCAAAGTCCTCAGCCCCCGAGAGGCCTTCAGGTTCCGGCACCAAACAGATCGCCGGCATGGCAATCGGTCTTGTCGGTGTGATGATCTTTTTCACCGTGTGGATGTAACCTGCACACGGAAATCACTTTTCTCTACTTGTACATTTTGAACATATACTTTCACGACGGACGGAATCACGGCTGATACCCACTTGGCGAAGACACGATACCTTTCTTTCTTCTTTCTACGGCATGGCATTTGCATACGGCGTTGTTGTTCTGGCAGGCATACAGGTGTAGCCTTATGTCGATTTGTACACAGAAGTCGGTGCGGCGAAGGAGCCACAACATGTGCTGGTGCCCTGGACACGATGGGTTGGAGTATTGCTTCGGGTGCTTTCTGTTCTGCATGAATTGCGAGCAGGTTTAATGACGGTTTAATCGATAATACCCGGGTGGAAAAAAAGAGATACCCAGGCGTTGTTTACGAGAATACATAGACAATGACGGAGTTGGCTTTGAGCCCTTTCAATAGATCCTGTCTACACGTACGATCGTTGCCCCTTCCCATCTAGTGACTTTATACAAAGTAAGACCAGTAGTCTCGCCCTCATCTTTTTGTGACACGTTAGGGGTAGGGAAGAGCCCAGCTCATATCTACGAAGGACTGGCTATTAGGCGATTTCGACGATGAATACCTGACTTTGAGACCTCGCTTGCCTTGAGCATCAGCCATCGCCAACTAAACATCATCTTTCGGCGTATAGGTTGATACTTCAAGCAGAAGGAGCCAGTTTG